GGGGGGGGGGGGGGGGGGGGGGGGGGGGGATGAAAGAAACAGGACGAGCCAATCTTTGCAAAAGATGCTTCCATTTTGTATTCCCCATCACATGCAGAAATGTGGTTTTTTTTCCATTCCCAGTTGAGCCTTCCTGCCAGAACAGGATTTGTCCTATATTAATTTGCTGCTCTTACCCATTTTGTGTATCAGCACTGAATTAGAGCTGAGGTTTGGATGGGAATTAACACACTGTTTTTTGCCCACAGAAAGATTAGACACTATGTGTCAATTAGTAGACTGTGCAATGACAACAATAAGGTAAGTGAAAATAGTGCTATGCTTGCTTTAGTTTGAGCCCTAAATATTACAAAATAATGGGAAAGTTCTGACTAACTGGATTTCTCATACTAAATTGTAGGCGGAGAAGACATGTGAACGTGTTCAGGCTGAATCTCAGACAGGTATGACACATCTCTTCTGTCCTAATAAGCGGAGAATGTACCTGGGGAAAGAATAAAGCCCATTGTCAGTGATCTGACTGAAAACCACAGTTGCACAGGACAGTCTGAACAGAACTGTTTAGCTAGGGATGAGCTGGGAATCCAGCTCAAAAGGAAGGAAGCCTCATTTGTTTTAGAAGTGAAATAAAGCAACCCACCCTTGAAAATGCAGTAATAGGGCCCCAAGTTGGTATTGTGGTATTGCTGGATTCAGTGTCACATTTCGGTTGTAGGTAGTAGATCCCTGTGACAAAATTAGAAATAAGAAGGATGCTGTCTAGTTGTCATGCTGTTGTGGCTGGTCTATAGTTAGTGGCATGTGTGTTTGCATTGCTTTTAACTGTATTTGCATATGGGTGGAAAGGAGGATGACCAACACTACCATTCACCCTCATCCCACATACCAGCACTTCAGTTAAGACATCCCTGGCATCCATGCTGCAGGTACTTGTTAACTGTAGCCTTGGTAGCACAGGTTGTATCTGTTGGAGTCTGTAAGGGACCTAGGATACATTGCCTAGTTTGCTAGCCTGTAGTCTACTTTGGTCCACCAGTTCTTTGTGGCAGTTGCTACTTGAGTGAACTCAGGTGTGTTGCACAAGTTGTATTCACAGCTACAATTGTGTCACTGTCAAGAGAGGAACTTTTCCTTCCACACTGTTAGATCCCTTCTGCAAAAACATTTAGGCATGTTCTGCCAGAGAGCGTGACTGGATTCATGACAGTGTAATTGGGTGAGAGTTTAAAAAGGAGCTTTCGTTGGCTCTCATCTGCTGGAGCATTGTGGTAAATGTCACTCAGCTGCTATCAGGCTTTCTCTGAGTTTCAGTTCCTTTAACATACATCATCTTAGGCACAACTTAATGTCATTGTACAATATCATTTTCTCCACAGATATTCAGACTTGCAGACACAAAGACAGGAGGAAAGGATCACTAGATGTCAGATCCACAACATCACGAGGGAGTGATGGTATGTTAAACAAGTAGATTTTTCTGATTGCTATATATATTCAGATTTTTATGTGCATACATACCTACACATACAAATATACGTAGGCATGTATGTGTATATATACACATACACACATAAATAAAATAGCAAGTCATCAATTCATTAACATCTTTATATTTGTCAGATAGCCCCATTTTCTTCTCTTGAACTACTTTGAGTCTTTTTTTGAACGAGTGGAAAATGGAAGGCTATTGTCTACCACCCTGCATGGAAGACCTCATGACATTCAACACAGATACTGTCAAGTACAAATGGCAAACTCTAAACCTAACAAATTATTACATTCCTTACCTCTTCTTTTGAAAAAATATGAAGATAATTTTTTTACAAATTTTGTTTTCTTTTCACTGTGTTGTATTTTGCTCCATTAGATCACCCCAGACTTGATAGATGAGTTACGTATTCAAAATTGTTGCTGATACTTACATGATTTTGTTAAAGCATACATCATTACAGTCTAAGCAGCATACACTAGTCAAACGTGGAAGTAGGTCTGTGGCAGTGAGAATACAAGCATGCTCCAGTACAGCAAAAATAGCATTGATTCTTCTTCTTAAGAGCTGCTCAGCACAAAGAGTAAGAGAGATGTGTCTGCATTTTATAGGTAGCACAACATAATTATCCAGAAAAATCCCATCTTGGCCTTTTCTCTACAGAACCAAAATTGCTAACGGATATAAAACATTTGTTTTTCAATTTCCAATGAATAATAGGCCAGAACCTCTGCTGTTTTAATTTGGCATAGCTATCTTCACTTCAAAGGAGCTTCACTGGTTTACCTCAGCTTGGAAGCTGACTCATTATGACTTGTCATGTTGCATCAGGCAGCAAAAGTAGATATATCCTGTAATAACCTAAGTGCAACAGTTACCTACCTGTGCCTGCCAGTTTATACACAAACACATCTGTATAGTCTTTTAGCTGAGTTTTTAATTGAATGTTTTAATTAGTTAAACTAAAAAACCAAAGCCATGATTTGACCAGGCTGTTACAGCTACTTATCTCTGATCTGGGATATCAGTGGTTCAGCAAGCATCTCTTTGCACCTGTGTGTCCCCAGCACAACAAGCACATGTATGTATTCTGCAATAGATTGCCTCTCAAGGGCACAGCAGGGTAAGCAGTTCAGAAAATGATTCAAGATCTCTTGGCTGAATCCTCCTGTCGTGCCTTGTCACTGAAATCAGGATACAAATTCTGCTTTCTTTTCTACATAGGCAGCTCACAAAGGCGGCACTCTTCTATGGCCAGGATACATTCCATGACTATTGAAGCACCCATCACCAAGGTAATGTGCACTGTCACTAGCTGTTGTCAGTTGCGCTGTACTGGAATACTGGGGCACAAGGCGCCAGTACAGCATCCAGACTGAGGAGCAAGGCAGCGCTGGCCTCTGGTGCAACTTCGTCCCCTCTTCCACTTGCCCACTGGTGGAGCTCCAAAAAGCTAGATGCTCTGAACAAAGTTCTCCCAAGCCTGCTTAGTAGAATGCCCCCCATGTGGTCAGCCATTGCATGACCCTTTTTAAGGACTTTTGCCTATGCAAAGGAGGGACTAGAGTGCCTCCTTACTTATGCATTGTAAACTGCCTTCTGAAACCACTCAAGGATTTAGCAAAAATCAGCTCTTTAATAAATTGAGAGAGACAAATGGGAGAAGGTTATATTAAATCCATTCAGAGACATTTTGAGGCTGTGCCTTGAATGGGAAAGTCATTAATAAGACTGCTGTCTTTAAGGCCATGATCTTGTTCCCAGAGTCAGTAGCAAACATCAGTGTTTTATTAGCATCCCTTTCATTTAGATTCTCCCACATATGGATTAAAGTTGTAGATCTTGTTTATTTGCTATGAGTTTTCCATAGTAATTGATGAGTGTCTCTGTTCTTTCTTAAATCACTTCTAAACTCAAAACATGTCTAATGCTAAACTAGGTAATAAACATCATCAATGCTGCACAAGAAAGTAGTCCCATGCCAGTTGCAGAAGCTTTAGATCGGGTTTTGGAGATTTTAAGAACCACTGAATTGTACTCTCCACAACTGGGGACGAAAGATGAGGATCCACATACAAGTGACCTCGTTGGAGGGTTAATGACAGTAAGTACATACTGCCATAAACAGCTATTGATTAATGTTCCACTGCCTGATTTTCCCAATTACTTGATCTTTATCATCTGTCACGTGCTTTACCTCTACAATGCCAAATTTTCAGGAAAAAACGCACACCTCTTTTTGTGGATTTTCCACCCCCCACATTAATAGTGTAGCTCTGAAAATGGGAGGAAAATTGACCAGTCCCTTTGAAGCATTAGTTTTGCTAGAAATGGAAAGGAAAATCAATTCTTTTTTCAGTGTGATTCATTTTAGAAAGGTCTAGATAGGAGAGGAAGAAAGAAAGATAGCTAGACATTTGTATTTATTAATTAGGATTAGAATGGCATGTTTTCAGTGTATAGAAAGAACGTGTTTTCAAAAGAATGCAAAATATATATTTTTGTTGCTATTTCTTGGATTATATTTGTACCCGTAGGGACTCATAGAAACATCAGAGTGCTTTGAGCTAGAAACATGAATGTTCATGTATTAAAACACAATCGTGCTCCACAGAACTCATAATTTAAATAAATAAGGCAAGAAAAAGACTGAAAAAGGCATGTATTATGTTGTTATGTTATGAAGAGAGGTACGGGGGCATTGGAAGAAGAAGCATTGTACCCAAAGTTGAACAAAGGGCACGTGGCAAAGCAAGAATTGAACCCAAACCTTCAGAGCCTGGAGTCTGACCCTCCTGATAATAACTAGATGAACTTAGATGAATGGTACCTGTGCCTTAAGGATATGTGTTCCCATTAGTCTGTAGGTTGCATATAAAAGGCTACCTCAGGAAAAAAATTTGACAGCGTGTTGGATGCAAAAAGGCTCACAAGATGTGAGCTTTTCAGAGATGTCTCTGGGCTATTATCATTTCATGCTGTAACTATCAAGACGCCTTTGCAATATCTATCAGAATCTTGAAACAGTTTACATATATTTTTGCCTTTTAAAATACCACAGCAAATATCTAATCAGAAGAAACATACGAGGGACTTCAAGAATTCCAGGTGAAGACCTGAATGGTTCATATAGGATTGAATTTACTAACTCAGTAGACAAAATATATTGTTACCTTAACTATAAAAATATAGGAAGAATATTGATACATATAATCATTAGCGTCTCAAAGTTAATCTTTTCTCCTGCTG